GGGGGAGAGAAGCTGGGGGCTGGGGGCAAGGGCTCGGCCCTTGGTGTCCAGATGTGTAGAACCTGCCCCCCCTAGCCTGGCTCCTCCCCCAAGCTCTCCCTCAGGCAAAGTTCCCAGGGCCACCCCTGGGGGCTCAGAACCCGGGTGTTTCCCAGGGATCACCTCCCTCCCTCCCTGATGCAGGTTCTGAAGGAAAAGGCTCTCCTCCTGTGTCCTAGGGACACCCCTGCCTTTCCCAGAGACAAGTTGGCCTCTCAGGGTGGGGCTGGCCAGGGCCTTAGTAATGGAGATGGCAGAGCTCTGAGGGCAGCTGGGGGCCCTCATGCCCAACAGAAGTGGTGAGGTGAGACTGGACACTTGCCCTGCTTTTTTCTTTTTGCAACCTCGGACCCCTGGGTTTGAGCGATTCTCCTGCCTCAGCCTCCTGAGTGTCTGGGATTACAGGCACCCACCACGACACCTGGCTAATTTTTGTATTTTTAGTAGAGACGGTTTCAGTGTGTTGGCCAGGCTGGTTTTGAACTCCTTACCTCGTGATCCGCCTGCCTCAGCCTCCCAAAGTGCTGGGGTGACAGGCGTGAGCCTCGTGCCCCGCCACTCTGCTCTTTTTCTTGGCCCCCCAAACCCCCAGCTGTAGGGAGAGGCCACTGGGTGGGGTCAGGGCGAGGAGGGGGCTGTTGTGACGGAGAAGTGGATCCTTCCCTGCAGGCCTGTGTGCTGAAGCTTCTGGCCTCTCATCGCTGGGGCTGGGCTCAGTGTCCCAACGCTGCACTGCCCTGCACCCCCATGGTGGCCCGAAGCCCTGCACGCTCTCTGCTCCACAGGCTCTGCAGGGTCAAGCCACTGGTTCGAGGCCACACAAGATAGAGGGTCCGAAGTCCTCATGCCCCAGTAGACTCCTGGCACCCTGGGTGACACCCCCACCCTCCGGTTTTCCTGCCTGCCTGAGCCTCCTGGCCCCTTCCAGAAACACTGACCACATGGCTCCCTGACAGGAGCTGGGGGGCCCCTGAATGTCTGCATGACACGGGTGGGGCGGGGCCCTGGGCTGCTTAGTCGGTGTACAGGAGGTGGCCCTGATGCCACAGATAAGGATGAGCGGCTGCCGTGGCCACCAGGTGTAAAGGCAGCTGGGTGTGGTCACAGCCCTTGTGGGCAGATGGGCCCTTCCATCTGCAGCCCCAGTGCACAGGGGCTGCCTCGATTGTACAAAGTGGACACAGCAGACTCGCAGAGTCTGGGTCTGATTCCTCTTTTATTGGTGCCAAGTACCGCCACTCCCCCTTTCCCCAACCCGCCCCCCAACACAAGTGCAGCTCCGCTCTAGGCCTGGCAGGTGGCGAGGGGGTTCCTTCCTCATCTGGGCCTCGGGGTTCCTTCTGTAGCAGCGACACCGGCTTGTTCTGAAACCATAACCCCAGGCCCGGGCCCAGCGGGCAGCCAGGGAGACCAGGCCTTGTCCAAGGGGGCCCTCAGGGGCATCCTGCAGTGCAGAGACAGCACGTGAGGGACGGCGGTGGGGGGGCGGCTGACCCCAGCTCCCTGCTGGAACTGGGCCTCCCCTGGTCACCAGCGCTGACCCGGGGGGCCCTATGGGCAGAAGGGAGGGTCTGGGGTAGGGCGGGCACTCACCAGGCCTGTAGGTTGGGCGTGTCCGACCCAGACAGGCAGAGCAGGCCGGCTCCGAGCACGGACCAGGCTGTGCTGTTCTCCGCCTCCTGCTCGCTGACCCCCACCCCAAAGCGGAGTTAGTCCCGGAGCTGGCGGTCAGCCCCGCTGCAGGGTCGCCCCAGCCGCCCCCGCCCAGCCTCACCTGCGCTTCCCCACCAGGCCCTGCAGCAGCCGCTGAAGCCGGGCACCCTCCCGCAGGCGACTGAGCTCGCTGGTGAACGTCCCGTCCGAGTGTCGCGGGGCCCTGGGGGGGTCGGCGGGCCGGGGTCAGGGCGGGGGTCGGGGGGCGCGCGGCAGGGAGTCGGGGGGGCGGGGGTCGGGGGTCGGAGGGGTCGGGCGGCTCACCGGGGGGGCGCGGGGCGCGCGGCGGGGCCCCCGAGGAGCAGCAGCAGCAGCAGCAGCAGCAGGGGCCGGGGGGCCATGGCGGGGCCGGTCGCGGGTGCGGATCGCGGCGGCCACGGCCTGGGCCCCGCGCGGCCCCTTTATGGCGGCGCCCGGAAGGGGGACGGGCCGCGCCCAGCGATCTCGGGAAGGTCAGGGCCGCCCCCCCAGCTGTCGCCCGGCCGCCTCCCGCCCCCTCCGCCGCGCTGGCGCCCCTCGGCTGCTGGGGGCGGGGATCCGGGCCTGGGGGTGAAGGGGCGAAGGGGGCGCGGGACCCTCAGAGGGAGCAGCACCGCGAAGCCTCGGAGCCTGCGGGGCGCTGGGGTGAGGGGCCAGGACTTGGGGGGCGCTGGGGTGAGGGGCCAGGGCTTGCGGGGCGCTGGGGCTCCCGGGGAAGGGGCGTCTCGGCTCCAGCCGGTCCCAGGGAGGCCCGAGGCCGAGGCTGCCGGGCGCGGTGTTGGCGTCTGATTTCCAGCGCCGGGTTCGGAACCCGGAGGCTCCTGACCTCGCGGTGCCGCCCCCCTCGCGGGACGCTCCGTCCCCCAAAGTGAAGCCCGGTCCCCGCTCCACACTCGGCCCCCCGCCCGCTCTCCGCCTCCCGGGACGGCGCACGGGAGCCCCGCGGGGTTTGTCCCGGGGCGGCCGGCCGGTCCCGAGCGGAGTCTCGTCCCCGCGACGTGAACCGCGGCCGGGGGTGGCGGGGCCGCGTCCTTCACCCGCCGGGCTGTTCGTGGACACGGCTGTGCAGACGGCCCCGGGGACCCCGTCTTCAGGTGTTCGGGGTGGCGCTTGCTGGAGACGGAGTCGTTCTGTTAAACATTCGCGCCAACGCTTCGCTTCCCACGGCAGCGCGGCAAGGACGGGGCTCGGCGTCGTCTGGGTCCTGCGCTCGCGGCCCGGCGGGTGCCTCGTCCCACTGCGCCCGTGACCGCGTCTCCCCAGTGACCCGCGCGGCGGAGCGGCCGTTTGCACCCACGGAGCGAGTGGGCGGGAAACGCCGTCAGGCCTTCCACACTCCGCCGGCCTGGCCGCCTCTCTTTCTTTCCTTTCTTTTCTTTCCCTCCCTCCCTCCCTCCCTCCCTTCCCTCCTTCCTTCCTCTTTCCTCCTTCCTTTCTCTCTTTCTCTCTTTCTTTTTCTTCTTTCTCGCTCTGCCGCCCAGCCTGGAGTGCAGTGGGGCCATCTCTGCTCACTGCAACCTCTGCCTCCCGGGTTCAAGCCACTCACACCTCGGCCCCCCAGGCAGCTGGGATTACAGGCGAACACCCCCGCGCCCGGCTAAATTTTGTATTTTTAGTAGAGACGCTATGTGACCATGCCGGCCAGGCTGGTCCCAAACTCCTGACCTCAGGCGATCCGCCCGCCCTGGCCTCGGCTTCTCTGCACACTGTCAGTCGACCTCGCTGCAGCCGCTGTTTTTAGCTTCCGCGGTTCCCGCTGCCCGGCTGCTCCCTGCTCTGGTCTCAGTTGCATTTCCCCAGCGGCAGAGACACAAGCTCTTTCCAGGAGCTCATGTCCATTTGCAGGTTGCTGTCCGTTAAATGTGGCTTCACGTCTCCTGCCCATTTTTAAATTGTTCTCTACGGCTGACGTTATTTTTACCGTGGGAATATATGCACAACGTGAAACTTAGCATTTTAGCCATTTTGAAGTATAAAGTGATACTCAGCACAGTCACGAAATCTCACGAAATCGTGCGGCCATCACTGCTGTTTCGTTCCAGAACTTTTTAATCCCCAGATGGAAAACTTCTGAGTAACTGGGTTTAAGGGCGTGCGCCACCACATCCCCTCGGGTTTTTTTAAATTGTATTTATTTTTATTTTTTCGAGACAGACTCTCACTCTGTCAGCCAGGCTGGAGTGCACTGACTAAATCTCGGCTCGCTGCGGCCTGCGACTCCCAGGTTCAAACGATTCTCCTGCCTCAGCCTCCCTAGTGGCTGGGATTACAGGCACCTGCCACCACGCCTGGCTAACGTTTGCATTTTTAGTAGAGATGGGGTTTCATCATGTTGCCCAGGCCGGTCTCAAACTCCTGACTTCAGGTGATCCACCCACCTTAGCCTCCCAAAGTCCTGGGATCACAGGCGTGTGCCACTGTGCCCGGCCACTTATTTTTGTATTTTCAGCAGAGCGGGGGTTCCGTTGTGTTTTCCAGGCTGGTCTCGAACTCCTGACCTCAGGTGATCCACCCACCTTGGCCTCCCAAAGAGCTGGGATCACAGGCATGAGGCACCGTGCCTGGCCCCTTTTGTATATTGTGAATAGTGCTGCTGTGAACGTTTACACACAAGCCTTTGTTTGAACACCTGTTTTCACTTCTTTCGGGTCTATACCATACACCCGCTGAGTCATTTGGAAACTTTGGATGTGGCTTGTTGGGGAACTGCTGAGCTTTCCCCCACAGCGACCACACCATTTCACATGCCCGCCGGCAGTGAGCTTTCCTCGTCCTTACATTTCTTTTTATTTTTTATTCTTGCCATCCTAATGTAGGAAATGGTATCTTATTGTGGTTTTGATTTGCATTTCCCCAGTGACTAAAGGTGTTGAGCATCTTTTCAAGTGCTTTTTGGTCATTTGTGTATTTTTTTTTTTTTTTTAAGACAGAGTCTTGCTCTGTTGCCCAGGCTGGAGTGCAGTGGTGCGATCTCAGGTCACTGCAACCTCCACCTCCCAGGTTCAAGCGATTCTCCCACCGCAGCCTCCCTAGTGGCTGTGATTATGGGCGCCTGCCACCATACCCGGCTAATTTTTGCATTTTTAGTAGAAATGGGGTTTTACCATGTTGGTCAGGCTGGTCTCCAACTCCTGACTTCAAGTGACCCACCTACCTTGGCCTCCCAAAATGCTGGGATTACAGGCGTGAGCCACCGCACCTGGCCAAATGTGTATCTTCTTTGAAGAACTGTCTGTTCGAGTCCTTTGCCTATTTTTATTCTTTATTTTATTTTGAGACAGGGTCTCACTTTGTTGCCCAGTCTGTAGTGTATTGGCTGAATCACAGCTCACTGCAGCCTCAGCTTCCTGGGCTCAAATGATCCTCCTACCTCAGACTCCCAGATAGCTGGGACTACAGGCTCACACCACCACACACAGCTAATGTTTGTATTTTCAGTAGAGACGGGGTTTCACCATGTTGGCCAGGCTGCTCGAATTCCTGACCTCAGGTGATCTGCCCACTTTGGCCTCCCGCAGTGCTGGGATTGCAGGCGGCAGCCACCGCGCCCGGCCTGTTTTTACAGGATCTTCTGTACATAAAATCTGCGCGTAGAAACAGTTTTCTTTTCCAATTTTGGATACCTTTAATTTCTTTTTCTTGAGGAATGCTCTGGCTATAATTTCCAGAACAGTGTTGAACGGAAGCAGCAGCAGTGGGCATCCTTGTCTCTTTCCTGATCTTAGGGAAAGGCTTTCCGTTTCTCACCACTGAATATGATGTTAGCTGTGTTTCTGTGTTTGTTTTTTTGAGACAGAGTCTTCCTCTGTGTATGATCTCGGCTCACTGCAACCTCCACCTCCTGGATTCAAGTAATTCTCGTGTCTCAGCCTCCTGAGAAGCTGGGACTACAGGCGTGCACCCCACACCCAGCTAATTTTAAATTTTGTTTTTTAGACATGGGGTTTTAACATGCTGGCAGGCTGGTCTTGAACTCCTGCCCTCAAGTGATCTGCCTGCCTCGGCCTCCCAAACTGCTGGGATTACACATGTGAGCCACTGCGCCTGGCCAGTGAAGTTTGTTCCTATTCCTAGTTTATTGGGTCTTCTTATCATGAAAGCGTTTTGAATTTTATCAAATGTTTTTCTCTGCATCCATTGAGATGATCACATGGGTTTTTCTTCATTCTGTTAATGTTTTACACTGAATTTCATCTATTGGGTCACCCTTGCGTTCCTGGGATAAATCCCGCTGGGTTATGATGCATAATCCTTTTAAAATGCTGCTTTTCTGGCAGGCAGCACTTTAAAACGGATTGTGTTTGCTCATGCTTTGTTGAGACTTTTTGCATCTATATTCATAAACGGTACTCATCTGGAATTTTCGTTTTGTGATGTCATTACTGTTGAGTTTTGAAAGTTATTCATATTTTTTGTATACAAGCCATTTGCTGGATATACGATTGGCTATTTTCTTTTTTAAATTTTTTGGTCTACTTTTATTAATTAATTATTATTATTTTGAGACGGAGTCTCACTCTGTTGCCCAGGCTGGAGTGCAGTGGTGCAATCTTGGGTCACTGCAACCTCTGCTTCTTGGGTTCAAGCGATTCTTCTGCCCCAGCCTCCTGGGCAGCTGGGATCACAGGCACGCACCACCACGCCCAGCTAATTGCTGTATTTTTAGTAGAGACGGGGTTTCACCATGTTGGTCAGGCTGGTCTCGAACTCTTGACCTCTTGATCCTCCTGTCTCGGCTTCCCAAAGTGCTGGGATTACAGGTGTGAGCCACCATGCCTGGCCCGAATTGCTATGTTCTTCCATTCTGCAGCTGGAAGTCTTTAACTTTGATGAAGTCCACTTTATCTATTTTTTCATTTGCAGAGTGTGCTCTTAACGTCACGTCTAAAAGTGCATTGCCTAATCACAGGTTTCAAAGTTTTTTTTCCCCACCTTTTCTTCTAAAATGTTTATAGTTTTAGGTTTTACACTTAAATCTATGATTCATTTTGAGTTTTTTTTTAAGATGGGGTTTTACCATGTTGGTCATGCTGGTCTTGAACTCCTGACCCCAGGTGATCCGCCCACCTCGGCCCCCAAAGTGCTTCAATTACAGGCGTGAGCCACCACGCCTGGCTTCAGTTAGTTTTTATATGAAGTGTTAGCTTTAAAGTTTTTTTTTGTTTTGTTTTGTTTTTTTGTGTGTGTGTGGCTGTTTTCCTTTGTTTCTTTTTGTTTTCAAGAGACAGGGTCTCCCTGTTACCCAGGCTGGAGCGCAGTGGCGCGATCGTAGCTCAGTGTAACCTTGAACTCCTGGGTGCACGCAGTCCCACCTCCTCAGCCTCCCCAGCAGCTGGGACTGCAGGCGCGCACCACCATACCCAGCTAATTTTCATTTTTTG